CTGAGAAACCTGTAAGCAGGTTAAGAAGCAACAGTTAGAACTGGACATAGAACAACAGACTGTTTCCAAATTGGGAAAGGAGTACATCAAGGCTGTATATTGTCACGCTGCTCATTTAACTTATATGCAGAGTATATCATGTGAAATGCTGGACTGGATGAAGCACAAGCTGAAATCAAGGTTGCTAGGAGAAATATCAATAAACTCATATATGTTGATGATACCATCCTTATGGCAGAAAGTGAAGAGCAACTAGCGAGCCTCTTGCTGAAAGTGAAAGAGGAGAGTGAAAAGGCTGGATTAAAACTCAACATTCAAAAAATGAGTTCATGGCATCCAGTTCCATCACTTCATGGCAAATAGATGGGTAAACAGTGGAAACAGTGACATCTTTATTTTTGGGGGGCTCCAAAATCACTGCAGATGGTGACTGCAGCCTTGAAATTAAAAGATGCTTGCTCCTTGGAAGAAAAACCATGACCAACCTAGATAGCATATTAAAAAGCAGAGACATTACTTTGCTGACGAAGTTCCATCTAGTCAAAGCTATGTTTTTTCCAGTAATCATGTATGGATGTGAGAATTGGACCATAATAAAAGCTAAATTCTGAAGAATCAATGTTTTTGAACTGTGGTGTTGGAGAAGACTCTTGAGAGTCCCTTGCACAGTGAGGAGATCCAACCAGTCCATCCTACAGGAAATCAGTCCTGAATATTCATTGGAAAGACTGATGCTAAAGCTGAAACTCCAATATTTGACCACCTGATGGTAAGAACTGACTCACTGGAAAAGACCCTGATGCTGGGAAAGGTTGAAGGCAGGAAGAGAAGGGGATGACAGAGGACGAGATGTATGGATGGCATCATATTCGATTGATATGAATTTGAGCAAGCTATGGGAGTTAGCAATGACAGGGAAGCCTGCCGTGCTGCAGTCCATGGGGTCCCAGAGTATTGGATATGACTGAGCGACCTAAATGAACAGAACTGATACTAAGTTCCCTTGAGTTCTTCACACTTCTCTATTACAGTTCACTTCTAATTCAGGAGTAAATAATGGCACCCTACTTTCAAAGTATACCCATTATTTTTTCTCTCCTGCTACTTCCACTTGAAATTACACTAGATTCTTGACCCTAAGCAGCTATTGTTAACACTAGCCACAGTGATTTTGTGATTATGCTGAAGATGAGTTCAGCATAGGTGAGACCATGCCATTGCTCTGCTGAGAACCCTGTGATGACTCCCACCTCACTCCGAGTAGAAGTTACAACTCTTACATTGACTTGAGCCCAGCATGATCTGGCCCCTTTTTACCTCTCTCCCCACCTCTCCTGCACTCTTACCATCAAATCACCGTGTTTGCGTCACAAGGGCCCCTTTACTGATCCTGGGACACATCAATCAGGTTCCTACCCCTCCTATGGGGCCCTTGTACCAGCTATTATCTCTTCCAGGAATGCTTTTCCTTCAGACATTCACAGGCTTAATACCCTTATTTTCTTCAAGTATCTTCTCAAATGCCACCTTTTCAATGAGGCCTACAAGCCACCTAAAAATTCAATTGTTCTAGAATTTATACACGCTTTTTGCTAGCTGTTTTCTTCTCACTTTTATCTTACTACTTACGGCCTTCTAATCTACTAAGTATTTTACTGATTTTGATATGTACTGTTTATGGCCATGATAAAACGTTAACTCTGGAAGCAAGGATCTTCCATTTATTCTATAATTAATCACAAATACTTCTTCTTAATTTGGAATATAACTGCTTTTCCATGTGTGTTAGTTTCTGCTGCACAAAGAACTGAATGTATACGTATATCCCCTCCCTCCTGAGTCACACTCCCTCCCCATCCCCAGCCGTCTAGGTCACCACAGAGCACCGAGCTAAGCTCCCTGCGTTACACAGCAGCTTCACACTAGCTATCTATTTTATGTATCATAGTGTATATATGTCAAAGCTACTCTGTCCATTTGTCCCACCCTCCCATCACAAATACTTGTCAGAGTTCCTGGCATGGACTAGGCACTCAACAAATAATTCTTAAACATGTGAAACCAACAAGTAAAACTCCTGTAGAAGATAAAATATGTTATATCAGTGACAATCTGAGTTATCTAACAAAGTACAGGCAGGGCCATGGAATATGTCTCAGAGGGAGTGATATTAAGACTGAGATGCAAATGATTAGAGGTAGTTACATTAGCAAAGTTGGGGGCTGGGGAGTAGATCTTCTCAGAGGAAACAGTGCAACAAGGCCCGTTGGTAAAAAAAACCATTAGGAAAAACTGAAATGAATTAATATGATTGGGGCTAAGGAGAGCAATTGAAGGGATGATGAAAAACTATTAGTGAAGACTGAAAGAAATTTACTATGATTGGGACTTAGGATAGCAACCAAAGGAATGGTAAAATGTAGGACTAAAAATAAAAGAAGGAATTATTTTAAAAAGATACTTAAAAGTGATCATGTAATTTATCTTCTAAATGAGGGTATTCTTAAGAATCAAAGTGGATTTCTCTTCATAATGACACCAGGACAATGTATACAATTTGGTACTGTCCTGGGAAAACAAGGACTGCTTCAAGTAAAAAGAGAGAGAGAGAGATTTTGGTTATCAATTGTAAACCATTTTATAGTATAAAATTTAGAATTTTTTCCCAATGGCTAGTAGGAAGAAATTAAAAATTAATGCAGGAGTGTGATTATAACATAATGTAAAGACTGCTACTCTGGTAGCAAGGTGGAGAGGAGTGCAGGGCAGCAAGGCTGGAGGCATGGAGAAGAGACTGAGGGCATTCTGCAGTGGAAGGGCAGGACGACGGAGACCCAGGCCCACCAAACTGAGCGCGGACATGGCAATGGACAACTTTAGAGGCCACTTGGTTAAACTTAGTGGAATTCAGTGAAATACAAAGTATAAGAAGAGAAGAATAGTGAAACGTTAGAATTCTGTCATTACAAATAAAAGGATGATGGTATCACATTTTTTAGCAAAAAAAGAAAAAAACGAAGGAGGAAGTTGTTTTGAATGAATATAGAAAGATTAGCTCAATTTGAATATACTACATTGGTTTTTCCAATGCTTGTTTGATTTTTCCATATAGCCCGTGGACAGTTTAATATGTTGCTGTGAAAAGAGATTTAAGGTCATGATTTAGCCAAGGGGATCAATTTATGGAGAAGACTCTTTGAGAGCAGACGCAACAATTTAGGGAAAATGAATGTACAGGGTGCAGAGGAAATAGCACTAGAGCATTTTAAGAAGAACATGGTCAATATTTCATAGGCTGTGATGATTCCACTGGATTTAGAGCAGAGCAGTGGCCTTGCCAGAGCAGTTTCAGTGATATACTGGGTGCAAATTTCAGACCTAACTGGTAGAGACATGAGATAATGGCAAGATTTCAAGCCAGCAACTGAAGACAACACTTGAAATTTATCTGTGAAGATGTCAAGGCATGAGGTCCAGAAGCGTGTGTGTGTGTGTGTGTGTGTGTGTGTGTAGATAGAGACATGAAGAGAGTCAGAGAGAGAGAGAAGCAGGGAGGAAGAATGAATTGGTGATTAAAAAAAAATGCAAGTAATGAGGATTAATAAAAAAGTGAAGTCCCTAAGAGGGAAATGGAGAATGGCTTGTTGCATAAGTGAAGGTATTTATATTAAAATATTATAAGCTAAAAAAAGGAACACATTTTCCTTGTGATAGAAACTCAGTGCATGTAGGTTTGTGTGTGGTTTGGTGACAAAATTTAATGGAAGTTCTTATTTGTCTGAATCTTTTTTAAAAAAATTTCTGTGTCACAGAAGCCAACTTCAGTAAGAATTAGATAAAAGATTGGGGAATTTGGGAAAACAGAGAGAGAATCTGAAAGAGCCATCATTAATAACTGAATGTAGAAGTTACAAAGAAATACAGAAGTGTCTGGTGTTTATATTCTAATCAGATATATGAAACTGTTGTTAGAAGTTCTGAACTATTTTCATTTCTTACCAGTTTAACAGATTGGAAATTTTTTTCTTTATATTTAGTTATTTAGTTATACCGAGTTTGTAAGGCACACAAGTATATTTTAAATTTGACTTTGGAATTTTGAGAAAAACAAATATAGTTGTTATTCTTTTTAAAGAAGGAAATTAATTACATTCTCAAATTTATTTATACTTACCCATGCTGGCAATTATGCTATGTACAGGCAATCTAGACGGTCCGTGATAAAATGACCTTGGTACATTGCTTTTTTTCTGATGGTCGTGGTTTTTAAATGCTGAATTCTCTTCTTTGGTAATATTAATATAAAAACATGTATCTGTGGCATTCATAATATATCGAGGACCTTGATTCAGCAAAATGTTTTTTATTATCTTCTCTCCTAATACCAATCAAGCAGACACCAAACCTTAATTTAAAAAAGAAAATAAAGGAGTTTAAGTTTAAAGTTCAGCAAAGGTCTTAGTTTTTTAAGCTTGAATATTAAGAAAATAAGTAAACTATTAAAAGGCAAAGGGAAATTAAAACCTCAAATAGGAAGATTTTAAAGCTTGAAAAGATCTTATAAATTCAAAGTTCTTGTTTTTATAGAAGAAAACAAACCAAAAAAACCAATATCGTTAGTGTGTTGTGAAATCAACTTGGATACTTAAGACTATGTGTATATATATATGTGTGTGTATATATATATATATATTAATAAAAAAGAATGGAATAAAAGATAAAAGAAAACATCAAAGTAAATATCATTTAGTAAGGGCAATTTTTTTGGGGGGGGTAAATTTTGTATGTATACTGGGTCTTACCATCAAATGTATATCTTAATTTGGCCCAAAAAATAAAACAGCATTTTAATTAACACTTTAAAATTTAAATCTATACAAAAGATTCATTTTCTTGTGAATTTCTACAGCATTAAAATGTTATTAAAGAAAATTGAAAAGATGCTAATCTGATCACAGGACCACAGTCATGTCTAACTCAGTGAAACTAAGCCATGCTGTGTGGGGCCACCCAAGACGGTCGGGTCATGGTGGAGAGGTCTGACAAAATGTGGTCCACTGGAGAAGGGAATGGCAAACCACTTCAGTATTCTTGCCTTGAGAACCCCATGAACAGTATGAGAAGGCAAAATGATAGGATACTGAAAGAGGAACTCCCCAGGTCAGTAGGTGCCCCATATGATACTGTAGATCAGAGGAGAAATAACTTCAGAAAGAATGAAGCGATGGAGCCAAAGCAAAAACAATGCCCAGTTGCGTATGTGACTGGTGATAGAAGCAAGGTCTGATGCTGTAAAGAGCAATATTGCATAGGAATCTAGAATGTTAGGTCCATGAATCAAGGCAAATTGGAAGTGGTCAAACAGGAGATGGCAAGAGTGATTGTCAACATTCTGGGAATCAGCAAAGTAAACTGTACTGGAATGGGTGAATTTAACTCACATGACCATTATATCTACTACTGTGGGCAG